CTATTCATAAGGTTTTCCCTGGCCAATTCTTTGAGAAGTGGACGGCCTCCTCCTTCTTCCTAGTCTTTCTCGGTCTGTAAGCTGGGCTGATACCTGTGCACCATGTGCATCCCGCTGGGTTTCAAACACCAGTGGCTCAGCCTCAAAACTCACATCAACACGTCACCATGGCAGGACAAACTGACAGACAAAGTTTGTCTCCCTGTTGGAAACCTCTCGTACCACCCTTCCCTGGGTCTCTGTGGCTGACTTCTCCTCTGTCCGGATTCCTGGGCTTTTTAATCCCCTTTCTCCCGCTCTCCCACCCTGATGTTTTGGGCATGACTGAGTTCCCGCTCCTCACCTGGATCCCTGTGGGTGACTGCTCCTCCATCCGGGTTCCTGGCTTTTAATCCCCTTTCTACTGCTCTCCCACCCTGCTGCTTTGGGTGTGCCTGATTTCCCTCTCCTCACCTGGATCCCTGCAGGGACTGCTTCTCTGTCAGGGTTCCTGGCTTTTAATCCCCTTTTTCCTGCTCTCCTGCACTGCTGCTTTGGGCATGCCTGAGTTCCTCTCCTCACCTGGATCCCTGCGGCTGTTTTTGTGTATCTGTCCTTAATTATGTTGAGGAATTTACCTTCTTCTATTCCTATTTTGCTTAATATTTTTAATTAGGAATGGGTATTGGATTTTGTCAAATGCCTTTCTGCCTCAATTAAGATGATCATGTGACTTTTGTTTTATTTATATGGTGGACTATGTTGTTTTTCTAACTTTGAACCATCCTTGCATACTTGGTATGAATCCCACTATGTCATAAGGTATTATTATTTTTTATTATGTTGTTAGATTCTATTGGCTAGGATTAGGTTGAGAATTTTACATCTATCTTTATGAGGCATATTGGTCTAGAATTTTCTTTTATAGTGGCGCCTTTGCCTGGTTTTGGTAACAGGTTACACTTGCTTCGTAGAATGAATTTGGGTGTCTTCCATCCTTTTCTACATTCTGGAATAGTTTGAGAGGAACTGGTATCAGCTCTTCTCTGAATGGCTGACAGAATTCACCAGTGAAGCTGTCTGGGCAAGGCTTTATTTGTTGTTGTTGGGAGTTTTTTTTAATACCCTGTTGAATTCCTTCTTGTGTGATGAGTCTGTTCAAATTTCTACCTCAGATTGTGTTAATTTGGGAAGGATGTATGCTTCTAGAAATTAGTCTATTTCTTCTAGATTTTCAAATTTTTTGCAGTACAGTTCTTTATAGTATTCTGTTGTAATTTTTATTTCAGTTGTTTCTGTTGTGATGTCATCCATTTAACTCTTATTCTTATGATTTGCATCTTCTCCTTTTCCTTTGTTAAATCTGCCAGTGGTGTGTTAATTTTATTAATCCTTTTGAAGAACCAACTTCTAGTCTTGCTGATTCTTTCTACTGTTATACTATTTCATCTCTAATCTTTTTATTGTTTTCTTTCTTCTGGTTATCATGCGCTTTTATTTGCTGCTCTTTTCCCAACTCTTGGAGTTATAAAATTAAGGTGTTGGTTTTGGCCCTTTCTTGTTTCTTGTTTTATGATGTGTTTATTTTTTATTGAGCAAAGCACTGCTTTTGTTATGTCACAAAAGTATTGTAGGTTTTACTCTTTCATTTATTTTTTATTTTTTTAATTCCTTTTTGATTCTAGGAATTTGTTTCAATTTTCATTTCTTCTATTATCCAGTGGTTTTTAAGCAAAAGTAATAAAATTTTAAAAAGAATTATCCTTACCAGCAAGCAATGAAAGTCCTCCATAATCCTACCCCTTTCCAAAGAGAAATAAAGTAAGTTTCATTTATTCTTATCTAGATTTGTAAATAAATATGCAAAAAAAAAAAAGCCAAACTCACTGCCATCAAATTGGATCCAACTCATAGTGACCCCTCCCTTGGGGTTCTGAGGCAGTATCACTACAGAAATAGATTGCCCAGTATCTACCTTTTTTTTAAAAAAAAAAAAACCAGAAAGGAAATCATGGTATATACACTCATCAAGTACTTAGCTTCATGTGTTAGTCATCAACAAATCACTCTTGTTCTTCTTAGTGACTTCAAAGTACTTCATTCATAAATTAAGTGTTTAAATATTCTAATATGCTACTTATGGGCATTTAGATTCATTTTATTCTTTTAGCATTATTTAGTAATAATGTTGTAACAAACATTCTTGTATATTCATCTTTTTACACTTCTGTGGGTAGTGTGCAATAAATTATTGGAACAGTACTAAGACAGTGAACACTTAAAATTTTGATATTGTCAAAAACCCCAAAAATTGTGTTAATTACATTTTCAGTGTAGGAGAGTTTTTGTTTATCCCAACTCTTGATGATATTGTGTATTATCAATCCTCTAAATCTTAGTTAATCTAATAGTGGATAAGATCTTGTATTTATGTATTTAAACTTAACCATTTTTTTGCTTTTATAGTTTCAAGGTTTCATGACATGCTTACAAAAAGCTATTCACTATCAAAGCTTCTTTTAATGCTTTTATGGTTTGTTTTTTAACATTTAAAAACTTCATGCATTTGAAAATTATTTCAGTGACATGATCAAGGCTCAAATCTTTTTAAATGTTAATAGCCAAGGACTGATAGTCTAGCAAAAATTACTATGAAAAATGTTAATCCAAAGCAATGAACAAATATTAAAATAAAGAAAAATTATTGTAAATATGATTTATGTAAGTATCTAGCATTTGTATACTTAATTGAAATATTAGTCAATGAAGGAATAGTTAATAGGCCCTTCTTTGGTCACTATGAAGGAGGTCTGGTGGCACAGCGCTTAAGGAATTTGCCTGCTAACCAGAAGGTTAGCAGGTCAAACCCAGCAGTCACTCCATGGAAGGAAGACAGGGCAATTTACATCCATAAGGATTTACTGCCTCGGAAATCCAATGGGGGGTCTCTATGAATCAGAATACTCAATGGCAGTGGGTTTTTGGTTATGTCACTATCAATTAGAATCAACTTGATGGCAGTGGGTGGTATGGGTAGATGACTCTAGCTACTAAAAGGGAAAGATTTAGATGTACAATTTTTCTATTTAAAAAAGGAACATAAGGAATCTGTACTATAATGAATAAATATATCACTATGACCATCAAATTCTCACATTGGCAATAAATAAAATGAGAATTTTTATTATGGCAATTTATATCCAAAAGAGATTCTCATAAAGCAATGTATATCCAAAGAAGATTCTGATAAAGCAAAGATAGGGTAATCCTTTGAATTTACTCTTAAATTAATGAAGACTTTTTTGTAACTACCAATTCCAATTGAGGCACCACCAGAAGAAAAGGGCTTAATATCTTTACAAACCTTTAAATACAATGGATTTTTTTGGCAACATTTTAATTTAACAGCACAAGTTGATTACCTGAATCTCAATATCCAACTCATGAATAAACAAATAATAGTAAAAGTGCCTGCTAGTAAGCAGAATTGTCAAGACTATTTAAAGCAGAAAAAAAAATAACAGCTAATATCCAATAGATCACTCAAGAACACTTTTGAAAGCAGATACTCAAATCATGGGTTCTACAGTGAATGTTAATACATTTTACACCCTGTGACTTGAATATCGGTTTCTAATTTGACTAAGGTATCACAATCAAGCTATTCAGTCCAACTACAGAGTTTGGCTCAACAATACGAGGAAAAAAAAAAACCCACTTGACTGAATTATAATGAATACTTACAAGAAGACTACCAAGAAAAGACTGTACATTTACACATTATAAAGAATTTTTAAAGATAAGATTTTTTTTGTAAGATGTTTTGCTCTTTAATTAAAAAATACTGCTCATGCTTATAAATCTCCCAAAACATAAAATATCTATCAGCTTCTTGTATAAACAATCTTGCACTAAAGTTGCTTACAAATGGGTTTATACAAAATAAAACTCATTTTCCTTTTAGGACTAGGTTTAATATTTATATTTGAGATTTTCTTGCTGAAGGAAAAAAAAAAAAAAAACAAATTCACTGCCACTGAGTCAATTCGACTTGGAGCAATCCCTTCTTGGGTTTCCAAGGTGGTATCTCTACAGAAGTATACTGCCCAATCTTCCTTCCAAGGAGTGGCTGGTGGGTTTGAACTGCCAGCCTTCTGGTTAGCAATCAAATGCCTTAGGCACTATGCCACCAGAGCTCCTCACTGAACAAAAAGGGGGAGTGTAAATTTAAGGATTAAATATGTTTCCATTCAAAATAATTCTTCAGTGATAAAAAAAAATAACAGGCTGCTTAATATAGAAATCAATCATTTCATACATACAAATCACTCCATACCTCTTGTCAGCAAGATCTGTTTTATTTCCTACTAGCATGATGATAACATCACTTCCTCTTTCTGTTCTGACATCATCAATCCATTTTGTAGTTTGCTGGAATGAGTTAACATCTGGTATAGAAGGGTGGACAGAGAGATTAGTGCTATTGCAAATGCCTCCCCAAGTGATGGAGTCAACAGCCAAAAGACAGCCCTGGAAGCTGGAAGGGGGCTGGCACATTAGAACCCCACTTTTAATGTGCCTGCAACGTTAACTCCATTTTATCTGATTTTAACTGTCAGTGATCTAAATAATAGCAAGAAAAAAAATTCTCAAGGTTCTTTTTATAGCAGTTTTTAAAGTTTTAGATATGACCAAATGAATGCAACATAATATATATTTGAAAAAAAATTATTTTAAAACATAAGGACAGCTCTGGCAGATAATATGGTGTCACATTGCCAAAATGCTTATTTGATCACTTACACATACCAAACATGACAAAGAAAGCATCTCCAAAAGTATGTCAGCCAATAAGTCCCAACATATCCAGAAATTTTGTAAAGACTTTAAATAGCTGTTCAATACCACTGTTTGCACTGCTTACTTAGTTTGTGATCACTTTAACTTGAAGTTCATTAGTTTAATGCATCACAATCACCTGCAACAAAATCCATCTTTTTTAATGTTGGATTCTGAATACTTCAACACTTTTTACAGGTGCTAAAGAAAACAATTTGCTAATATTATTTTAACCATATTTGCATAATTTTAAAGAAAAGTACCCCAGGTTTCACTTGCTTTAGATAAAGTAAGCACAAACATTTTAAAGCTGCAAAAGGTGTCAATGCACAATAATGAACATATATGTATTTTTTAAACAAGCAGCACCCTAAAGTGAAGCTGCAAGAAAAGATTGCATATAGCCCCTATCTAGAAAAAAGCGTTTCTGAATGACAAACTTCTAAATCTGCCATGGCAATTATTGTTAAGTAGGTATAACTTCTGATTGAGCAGTTATACAAAAATGTATAGTGATCATATCAGTAGCTCAAATCAACAGTTTCTTTATTTTTAAAATCCTGAAAGCTGTACTATCCTGGTTTTCCTATAAATTATGGAGTACTATATATGAGGATAATGCTTAATATTACATAGTGTATGCCATAAGCCTATTTACAGGTAATTTCAATCACACAGCATTTTACTGTCGGTCACCAAGGCTCCATGGAAAATTTAGTCACTTTAAATACCAAAGGCATTATTCAGTCTTCAAGAAAAGAAAAAGAAAAATCATTACTTACACGGTCTCTCATTTTTTATTTTTTCAAGGTGAGAAATGAAAGCATAATTTCTTAGCAGAAAAGTAAATCAGTCTTATTCACAGAATCCAGATATAATTCAAATGAAAATGATTAACAGACAACTATACATTATCTTTTCTGTCTTCCTCTATAGGGAGAGGATAGCAAGAAGGGGAAAGCAGAGAAAAGTTGGCTAGTGGAAGCTTTTAATGCCTCAAGAGAGGCCTTGGAGGATCTGGGAAACTTGGCAAGAGGCTTAAAAACAGGTTGTTTTATTTAAAAAAATCTGAGATCAAGTTAAATGAAAAAAAGGAGACATTCCTCCTACTATAATCAAGGTACAGCTTGTGATAACAAGATACTAAAAAGCCTCAAGGAGGATTCATAATTGGACTTGAAGGAAAATTTCTGGGAGAAAATAATCTAACAGTAGAAATATAGCATATTGGCACAAATACCAAAGTAAGTATTTCTGACCTGGCTGGTCTGTGATAAGATTTGCTATGATAAAACTCATTTTTACATGCCAGTATAGAAAACAAGCACAAGACAAGAACATGCATGCAGCTAAGCTAAAGGTTAAGAAGATCAAAAATGCATAATTCCCCCCACTCACTTGTGATATCATAAACAACAACTGCCACAGTGGAGTCACGAATGTAGCTAGGAATCAAGCTCCTGAATCGCTCTTGACCTGCTGTGTCCCATAATTGCAATCGTACCTAACAACAAAATCAGTCAAACAAGCAAGAAAAATAAGAGAGGTCAACCGTTGCAAAATACCTACTTGTGATATCGTAAACTACTACTGCTGCAGCAGAGTCACGGATGTAACTGGGAATGAGGCTACGGAAACGTTCCTGACCCGCAGTATCCCACAGCTGCAGCCTGATCTGTGGGATGGGAAAAAATAAATAAAAAAAAAAAAAAAAACCAAATACTAGAAAGAAAAAAGAAACCATGTTTTTAAAAAGAGAAGAGGAAGGGGGTGGGGAGTAGAAGGAGATTCATGCAATTGGCTGAAGAGGTGTAAGAAATGAAAATAACACAAAACTTTTCTTTTCCAAAAGAAATCTAAAAATTTTGCTTGCTTGGTAGGTACATGACTAAAAAATAGTACTGGGAAAGATTTCACAGCATCAAAAATATAGCCTCCATTTTTTCCTTCCTATAACCTCTCTTTAAATCTCTATGCCTTTTGGATGGCAAAAATAGACTCTGTTGATGTTCAAATTGTGAGAATAAGAGAAAAATGAAAGTAAATGTCAACTGAGCAGACAGGCTATCAGAGTAAAGGAACTAATGCTTCTCTGAAAGCCTTTCTAAAGCTAAAATGTATCCCCTTCCTACTAGGTCAAGAACACTTTGAAATTGGGTCTCTGGCTATTTTCTTATGTCCCCACATACATAGCTTTCTCCCCAGAACATTTTATACCTATTGCCATCAAATCGATTATGACTCACAGCAACCCTCTATGTATGGAACATTCTATAACCTCACAAAAAAGAAAAATATCTTTTTATAACTCTACATGAAGTAATTCCTTACTTTCTCATATTTATGTTAGGAGGAAAAAAGCCTGAAAACAAGTTACCAAGTTCTCTTACTATAAAGTAGTTTTCAAGCTTTCAAATTTAAAAAAATGGATGCCATATAGTAAAACATAAAAGAAAACATCCAAAAGAACAAAACTCACACATTTATGAGACAAGACAATGTTTCTTGGGTACAGGTCCTAAGATACTATGTGTAATTTTCAATGCACAGTAGACTAGTCATTTCTCAAAGGACAGGACAAAAATTACATTATATTTAAGGAGAACATTCCAAAGGATGGAAGACAAAAATCAAACAAATAGAAGATACTTCTTTCCACTCATAGTCTCTATTAGTACACATTGTATTCTGGCAAAGAAAGTCTTACACAGTTCACAAATTGTATTAGATATTCAAGAGAAATCTTCCTGAAGAGTTGCATTAGAAAGGTCTTTAGCAGCTCTACTTTCTTCAGGGAAAATCTCTTTTCATTATCTGTTTACTCTATGTATTATCACTTTTCCAAATCAAGAAGACAAAATTTGTTTGGTAACTTTGCTAAGTACTTCTTGTGATGATAACCACCGATTAAAGCTGTGATCAGTTTTTGACCCTGAGTGCTGTAGAAAATTGCACACTAAAAAAAAAAAAACTACTCACTGTTCGATCTTCCAAGTACATTGTTTTTGATAAAAAGTCAATGCCAATTGTTGCCTGCAAAAGAAAAAAAACAAAGACGGTAAGAAATATATATACTATTTTAATGGCAGTCAGTTTAGGGTTCAAATGGGAATTAAGGATGAAGAAACACATAAACGCATCAAAAACCAAGTAAGAAAGAACATTTTCAGTGACAACAGTTTCTACTTATTAAACATGTACTGTGTATTAGGGATTGCTTTAAACCCTGTCTAATCCTATGTTATTAGGAGGGATTAGTTCCTGGAGAAAGGACCTCTGGTGGCCTAGTGTCTAAGGCTTTTGCCTGCTAATCAGAAAGGTTGTCGGTTCAAACCCATCAGCCGTTCTGGAAGGAAAATGGGTCAGTCTACTTCCATAATGATTTGCCACCTTGGAAACCCAATGGGGGTCACTAGGAGTCAGGATTGACTTGATGGCAGTGAGTTTTTTTTTAGTCCCTGAAGAAAGACACCATGATTGGTAAAGCAGAGCATCATAACAAAAAAGACTGACACATGGGCTACAACAATGGGCTTAAACATACCAAGGATGTTAAGGATGGTGCAGGACTGGGCATTGTTTTGTTCTGTCGTACACAGGGTTGGAATTGACTCAATGGCATGTAAAAATGGCAGCAGATGTTGGTAAAAATGTGAATGTCTGCATTTACAAAAGATGCATGTAAAAATGGAGCTGTTGTCTGATATCCTTCTAACGTCACAAGGTGGGAAGAGGATCATTATCAACATCAACAGCCCAAGGCTGATTCCTATGAGGTGAAGGTCAGACATACCTCCTCTCTCCAACCTTTTCACCAATTCTGACACAGCTATCCCTCTTACAGTGCTCTCTATTTCTCAGCTGGCTTCAATATTTCATTGCAATGGCTACCCAGAACTCATAGACCATACTCACTGTTATGGGGTTTATCAGGGAAGTAACAGATTAAATCAGGATGAGGAAAGACTCAGAATTCAGTTCTTTAATAATCAGGACAGACTCTTCTCACCTATGCTGCAGGCAGGCCTCTCGCTTGTCCTCAGGCCCCCCAAGGGGCCTCTTGGGGCAGCCTGGCCTCTTCCCTGCTTGGGCAAATGTTACAAAGCTCTTTTAGCTCTGCTGATAAGTGTCCAGAGCTCTTCATCTGCTGGTAAGTGCTGGAGGCATCCTACTCCACCAGTAAGCCTTGGCCCAAAGGCACTCAGCTGGAGCTATATCAGCAAGCCTAGCTCTACCGCTAGGCCTGGAGGCACCCACTTCACCAGCAAGCCTCCTGCCCAAAGGCAATCAAGTTCTCTCACTCTGTGGGCCACCACGCTGTCTAGGCCAGTCTCCTAGGTCTGCTGCCTCTGGTGCCACCACTTCTTACCCATTTCTCCAGTATCACAGGTCTTTCTGTCTCACGGATCTAGGTTCCCAGAGCAGGGACCCCAAGTCCAAAGGACACACTCCACTCCTGGCTCTTCTTTCTTCATGGTCGTGAGGTCCCCTTTCTGCTCTGGAATTGGCCCTCTTTTAAACCTGGGAAGATGGCAAAACTGACCAATCCCCTTAAGGTACCACACAACTTATTTACAGGGTTTTACCCTGCCATGTATCTTATTTACATTATTAGCAAGCTATCAGTGATGGTTAGGGTTGTGTGTCAACATGGCTGGCCATGATTCTCAGTGGTTTGGCAGTTATGATTAATTCATCCCCCATGATGAGACCTGATATAAAGTAATCACCTCCATAATGAGATCTGCTATGAGCAGCCAGTCAGTTCAAAGGCAGTTTCCTCAGAGGGATGGCCTACTTCTAACATATATGGACTTCTTGGTAAAGCTGTCTCACTTTTTGCTTGATCTGGATCCTGAACCTGGCTCATCATCATCTGACCTCTGATTCCTTGGGCTTGAACCAGTGGCCTAGTGCTTGCTAATCTTGGTATCTGTTAACCTCTGCAGACTATGAGCCCGCAGCCTGCCATCTTACCCAGTGATCTTGGGTTCATCAAGCCCTGAAGCTATGTGAGTGAGTAGAAGCTTCCAGCTTTACATCTGACCCATGGAGTTGGACCTTGCCAGCTTCTACAACCCCATGAGCCAATTCCTTGACATAAATCAATCTCTCTATGTATATATACAGGAGCTCTGGTGGCATAGTGCCTAAGGCATTTGACTGCTAACCAGAAGGCTAGCAATTCAAACCCACCAGCCACTCCTTGGAAGGAAGACTGGGCAATCTACTTCTGTAGACATACCGCCTCAGAAACCCAAGGAGTCACTATGAGTCAAATCGATTAGATAGAAGTGAGTTTGAGTTATTTATACATACATACACATATACATACACATACACACACACACACATGCACACAAGCTTCACTGGTTTTGCTTCTCTAGAAAACCCAGCCTAAGACACTATCCAATCCCCTTTGTGGGCAACAAACACCTTATCTACATAATCCTATCCAATCAGTTAGTGGGAATCACAAAGAATCACTAGAAGGGCCATATTAAATAATATACCATGATGTACAGCATCCAAGAACAAAAACAATAGTTCTTATATATCTCTGCAAAGTAGTCATTATTATTCCTGTTTTTACAAGAATATTTCAGAGAGGTTAAGGAACATGCCTAACATCACACAGCTTCTGTGGTGGAGTTAAGACTGACTATAAAATTCAACCCTCTCCAATACACAGATTTTAACAAGATTATCTTTTTAAATCATTTGTTTTTCGTTATTGTTTTTGAGAACATATACAGCAGAACATACATCAATTTAAGAATTTCTATATGCATAATTCAGTGACACTGATTACATTCTTCTAGTTGTGTAACCATTCTCACCTTCCATTTCTGAGTTGTTACTCTCCCATTAACATAAACTCACTGGTGCCTAAGTGTCCCATCCAATCTTTTGAGTTGCTGTTGTCAATTTGATCCCATATAGATAGATCTTGAAAGGGCACATGATCAAAGCAGACATTCTTTACTAGTTAAGTTAAACCACTGTTTGGTTTTAAGAAGACTTCAGGGGATAGTTTTGATTTAAGGTTTAAAGTTATCTCAGGGCAATAGTTAAGAGCTTCATCCAAGCTCCAGAAAAGTTGGACTCTATGAGAATTTATAATTCTATTCTGCATCTTCCCCCTTTTGATCAGAATTCTGCTATGGAATCTTTTGATAAAAATTTTCATTAATGGTAGTCAGGTACCATCTGGTTCTTCTGGTCTTATGGCAAAGGAGGAAGTCATTCATGGAGGCAATTAGCCACACATTCCATTTCTCCTATTCCTGACTCTCCTTCCTCCTCTGTTGCTCCTGGCCTATAAACATCAACTGTTGTGTCCTGGATAACCACTTATAAGCTCTTAAGACCCCAGTTATTTGCAATGAACTAGGAGGTAGAACAGCAGCACTAAATGCATTAGGCCACTAATTAACTGGGCTGTCCCATGAAACCATAATCCTTAATGTCCCATGAAACCATAACTCTTAATCTCCAAACCAAGGAAGCACATCCCTTGAGGTTGTACATATCTATCATCCAACTTCTGCCAATTCAAATTTTGACAGGTATACAATTTACTGATAACAATCACAATAATCAGCTGTACAAGTCTACAATTATCAATGTGATTGTTTGATCACCATAAACTAAAAAGCCAGTACTCCATAAGCAGTACCCCTTTTTCCTCTCCCTCCCACCCCCAGTAACCACTAACAAACACTGGTCTCTATGCATTTGCCTGTTACTTTTACATAGCATAATGTCTTCAAGCTCCATCCACATTGTAGCATGTATAAAGAGTTCATTTCTCTTACTGGCTGAGAAATATTCCATTGTATGTATATATCACACTGATATATTTATGCAGTGTAGTAAATTACTTAGTATGGCTTTTCTACCCATAAGTCATTGTAAACTCAGTGGTGGAATGAGCAACTGAGGAGCTCGATTGTAAATGTTATCCACGTGGAGTATTTCTGTTGGGTGTGGCACAATACAATGTTCTGGGAGGTGCCCACTTTCTCTCAGGTGCTTAGAGTTCTGATGCTATGATTGGCTAGTTTGACCACCCTGCCAGACTCAAAAGGAGGCCTCCTAGAGGCAGAACTCTCTCTGACCGCTGGT